AGCGACGCGCGCGGTACTAAGGACGTCTAATTAGTGGCGGCGGTACATTCATTAAGGACGCAGGCCGGTGGAGAGTCCTTTAATTCCGCGGTACAGTTTCATCTGATTTACGTCCTCGGTGTCGCAGTCACACCCTCGACATTTCTTAAGGTGAATTCACAAGAATTTCACTCTTGATAATCGTCTCACATGAATCATTTAAAGTGAAAATAAAATGGATTATACGCATAAACAACATTTCAATGATATCAATCTATTTGAAATATAAGAAAACACAAAACTAAATTTTTTATCATTAAATATTAATTGCCTTCTTAAACGCGGATAAATTAATAACAAAGCATAATTAATATAACAATTAAAATTGTGGGCACAATTTCGGAATAAATACGAATCAAAAATATGAATTTTTTCCGACAAAATTCTAATAATATGTGTTTAATCATTTTTAAGTTAATTTTTTAAGATTCTAAAATTTCGAGTTTTTTTTTTAAGTCCACTTTTTTTTCTTCCCTTCAATTAATGGAACGTAAAAATTGGATTTTGATGCGTCTGCATCTATGCAAAAATATCTTCAGGCAATTTTGTAGTCAAGGTTCTATTACGTATCGATCCTAGAGGCCATGGAATTAATGTGTGTGAGTCAATAATAGAGACGAATAGCAAAGGTGTAATCGAACGGACATAGTCAGCAAAATCCATCAAAAGATAGTGATATTTCTATATGATAAACTACTCGCTGTGCAGGGAAATAAATTTGCAATATATTATTGTATAATACGATACTCTCTTCATAATAGACTATGTAATAATATATTTATAATTATTAAAGAATTATTTAACAAGGCAAAGTTATTATTATTAATAAACTAATAGGCAGCGTTAATGTGAAATTATTAACATATCGAATTTAGATACAGCGTTAATAATATTACTCTCTAATTGGATAATATTAACAATGCATAATTATGTAATCATTGTGAAACTATTACACACAACTATAATAACAAATATGTCACTTGTCTTTCTTTTAAATAAATCCCAATAATTGGTCCCGTTCCACTTCCGATTCCTTAAATGACATTGACATCGTTCTACATGTCAAAAAGGTAAATTATTCAGAACAGCAATAATTCAATTTCCAAATCCCCAAACGATATTGACGCAATTTGCATAAAGTAGATTAATAAATATTTCCTCTGTTCGGTGAAGCTCATTGCGATTGGTCAAACGCGAAGGAGGTCAAACTCAACAAGAGATTGCAGCGATGATTTCGAGCCACGAATCGTAAGATATAATTTAACATAGTTCGCCAAATGTGCATGTACAGATGTAAGCCAATTGAACGAATGCAAACGTAATCACGAAATAACGGATGAAACGGGCAAACTTATATATCGAGCAAGTGTTTTCGTGAAACAGTAATTAGGTAGTCTTTTTCTACAACTTATTGTAGAAAGGGAACTGTATAAGTTTTTTTAATATATGCAGAATATCGAGATTGAAGCAATCTGTCAAAGTTTTATTTTCTTTACCCGCTAAAATTAGTTAGACACGATAATGCTATAGATATAAGTATTGCTTCATAGCCAAAATTATAAGATACAAAAAATAACATTTTAAACACAAAAATTTCATGGAGCCACGTGATCCATCTTGAAAAAAATAATTCTTTTTTTATACGTTTAAAGATAGAACAAAGAATGGTTTCTTGCAAAGTAACATGAAAAGTTCAGGCTATATACAGGCCACTTCATTAGATATGTATCTAACTTCAGAAAAGTAGATTTGTTCCCGCCGGAATTCCCTGATAAATTTGGGAATAATTAAAATTTAATTGAGCGCTATCTTTTCCTGCAATCTTTCAATTTTTAGTTTTCAACGCTTTGTTTGATTTATTTTCTAGTAAGTGGTATAAATTATGTAATCTATTACTATATAATTAAATCAGTCGAACAGTCCAAATCAAAGAGTTAAGTACTGAAGCAAAGTTCTCCAATGACATTTCTGCAATTGCCATTATTAAGATTTGCATAAGAAACCAGCCCTCGTCAATATGGTCAATATCTTGGGAACACACGCACGATCTTATATGCAATTCTTGAAACTTCTTTCGCGCGACGTCATTATTTTCTCCCCGTGACATGGCACGTGACCGCGCACGCGGCGCGACGCAACAGCACGCGACGATCGATCACGCACGCCACACGCGTGACGCACTTGCTACTGCGATACTCGAGGGACATGATGTGACGTAAGGAAGGATGTACCTTTTCCACCTGCGAACATGCTCGCAGGCGTGTTCTGCTTGCTATTACTCCCTACTGTACGACGACGGAGGAAAAATATGTTCACGCAAACAAGCCCTGTTGCATTCCGCTGCAACTTCGACAAATTGACAATGTGAGCGGAAGGAGGGCGTAACTCAAAGTCAACTGCGCGAGCACAACTCGCAGTTATACGATATTCATAAGAACGGCGTAACAGAATACTCCGTTTCCCGTTTCACTCACTAGCATTGAAGTAATCTAGAAGTGTAGTTATGTGAAACGACATCAAAGATCCCGTTTTTATAATACACGGAAAAAGGATATAACCTGATTTAGAACGTTCTTGCATCCACATCGTTAAATTGCTCCTTTCTGTTCGCGCGTAATAATACGTACGTGCTCATATTAGACCTCGCGCTTACTAAGCGATAATGTTATCTATCCATTAAAAGAAACATTCAAATCAGCATTTTTACTTTTGATGCTTTTCAGCTTTAAGCAATATTTATATACTTTTCGGGGAAAACGTCACGTTCTATTAATATCATAAATAAAATTATTAATAGACCAAAAATAAGAATACAGATACACAATTCTTAAGCCCATCAAAAGTAAATTTTCAAAAGCGTCTGTTACAAGTTAGTACATAATTTTCTATCATATTTAATGTCCGATAGAATTTTAGCACAAGCTTAACAATTAGTTAGCCGAATAGAAAAAATATTGAGTAGATTCTTTTCCTAGACAAATAGGCTTTTTAAATCCACCAATCTTTCTCTTACTCTTTCAAATTTATTTCACCAGAATTTTTTGCTTCCTGTGATTAAAAAAATGATAAAAAGAAAATGCAACGCATTCAACCTATATATCATCTTGACTGCATTATAATAATCAATACAAAGACATGTGCTACCTGCAGAGAAACATTCTAGAATCGCCTACGGACGCGGCCATTGGAATCATTGTGTATGCGTACGCAGTGCGCACATATATACACACATACTAGAATCATTTAAAAGCCGGGACGGGAATCAGCTGATCGTCTCCGTGGGCGGTTGAAACCGCGGGAACTTGTTCTCCGCTACGTTGCATGACAAACGTGTGCGTAAGCCGCAGCCGTGATCGAGCACGCAATCCTGCACGACGCAACACGAAGAGACCCACTTTGCGGTAATAGTAATCAACGACTGGCCCACAGACTTCCATATAGAACGTCCCAGAACTGTTGCGTCGAGTTTTTCGCGAATTGAACTACGGAAATAATATTCCGAATAATGTTCGATTAAATGTTAACAGAATTTTCATTTCATTATATAAAGGATTTATCTACAGGAATATGTTTAATTTCATAAATGTTCCTCGAAATAATGCACGTATTGAAAATTATTAAATGCTTACAAATACATTATTGCGAATTTATCATGAAATTATTTGAGAATTATAATTAATTCAGTTTTCCTATAGACAGGGCAAACGGGCGAATTTATCCTCGTTTTAGCTATGGCTGAACTTTAGTTACGACTCTGGACATGACAGCGAATGTCGTGACACCTCGTCACGTAGAAACGGGTCTTAACACGCAATGATCGATCGCACAGCCACGCGATCGTTCCCCCTCGTCCTGTCCAATGCGCATGGTCGTGCAGCAGTGCATACCGTTGCATCCTGCCGCGACTGTCACTTCGTTGCACCGGACATGCCTCGTTTGCAATTATTTCTGCATTTCCTCGAAGGCTCTCCTCATAATCGTCGTCCGTTATCGTGTACCGAATTGCAGCTTTCGCGACGAATCATTCCTCGTATTCTTATTTCCATAAATAATTATACGAATTGAAATCTCATAGATTCTCATTAGCAACGAAACACGGCAGTTTATTTCCCTTCCGAGACACACGCCTCCTATTTCATTCTTAAAAAGTCCTAGCGATACGCAGGTATTCTCGAAATTAAAGAGCCATGAATCTGAATGCGAAAAGATTTAACGTTTTCAAAAAAAATTAACAATACAAAGGTGTAATGAATCAAAGGATTCACAAAGTAAAACTATTGCAATTTCTCAGGATATCGCATAGCCTGAAATATTTCGCTTTACGAGCGTTATACTACAGTGATAACGGCTCGGGACGCATTTTTCGCGGATCGTCTTCGTTCGGCGTTCCGATTTTAAAATTTCTCCCCAGGAAATTTCTCCGCAGGAACTTTGCATATCCACCCCCATAAATCTCGATTGCAAATACGAAAGGGTCGACCATGTCGGGGAAACGAGTCTCGTCGCACGTGGACACTCGGATGCGGCACTGACGCTGCCCGGTGCAATAATGCGCGGAAGGACATGACGTGCACCGGAGTGCATACAGTGTCTGCCATATTGATTGGCTTGCTCGGTATTACGTAATGTCATTAACACGTCGCTTACACATGCGCCTAATCCCGTCCTGGCCCCCGCAATGTGCAGCCCTTCAGTTTCCATAGCGCAATAGTCCCCTCTCCTATCCCCCCTCCCCCCTCAACGGACGAATTCGCACACAAGCACGCGCGCCCTGTCGCAGTGAGAAACAAGCTGACGTACCATTAGACAAATAGGAAGGAAAGCGGAGGGGAATCTCATGCGTACGTATGCATGTCGAGGCGCGAGTGGGGATGGATGCACACACGAGTGCGACGTGACGCATAAACCACCGCGGAATAATGCGTATGACGAGTGCAGGTTACACGCGTAATGCCGTACGTGAGCGCGTGCGCCGCGCGTTTCTACCTGCAGGTGCGATAATAACACGGTAATTTGACAGGCACCTGTCAGATTTTAGCTAAGAACTGAGTAAGTATAACATCGGCGACTTTAAAAAAGTTTAAAGAAATTTCGGAATTTAATTACAAATTAAAACCACAAATAAATTTTTATAGAAAGAGCAATCTATTAACTCGCGTAAAATGCATTTAAAGTTTTAATTTTATTTTTATTTTCTTCGTAATCGCTGTTTCATGCTTTTAGAACAAATTCATTCGCGATATCTTCGTTAAAATATTAATATATATACTAATACATGAACTTTGCACCATATCTATAAATGGAATTTAATTGAAAATTTCGTCTCTCAATTCAGATGTAGTAATTCTAGTGTATCAAATATAGAAACATTTTAATTATAGCTTGTATTTTATACGTGATTCAAGCTACCTAGATTGACGACAATTCTCCGCGAACCATTATAATTTCTCATCTGTGAAAACGTTCGGCCTAGAATATGTACAGATCGAGGTTTCCAATCAAACTCTCTATCGTTGAAATTTTTCATGCACGTCACGATGTATCAGTTTTCGATAGCTTCATCTTTTTTAATCGATCTTTTGCGTGGGCATAATTATGCGCGCGTACCTACATACTATTCTGGCATATACGTCAAGCATGGACCAAATCTCAAAATAAGTTTGCATATTTTATTTTCAACGACGGCAATCTCGCGCAATGCATTCCAATACTTATACATCAAGTGACCAAACAAAAATAACTCAAAATAATTTTATATTATTTCTAAAAAGCTCAATATATTTAAATAAATTAATATTATTTTAAGAAGTGTCTTTTAAATATTGAAATATTTAAATATTCCCTCCGTATCAAAAGATATTTATAGACACTGTTTATTGAATTTTCAAGTAATTCATTGTCAAAGAAATTTCAAAACATATTTGTTAGTATTTGACTTTCAAACGAAATTTTTATCCCCTCGCAATAAAAACTTATTATTGCTTGATCCTGCTTATTTTCAGCGCTATAATGCGGAGGTGGCTCGATGTTGGTGGCGACTGTACCGGAAGAAGTCTCACGGCAAAAAGGCGTGCAAGGCCGCCGGTACTTTCGACCGGTACCTTCGGCTCGAAGATTCGTAGGAAGCCGCTAGAAAGAAAAAGAGAGGAAGGAATAGAGAGAGACGGAAAGAGAGGTAAAGACAAAGGGAAATAAGACGGAACGCCGTGGGAAGAAAGAGAGGAAAAGAGCAGACAGAAGAAAAAGCGACAATAAGGAGAGTCCGGTGAACCTCTCGGTTGGAAGGAACCAAGAAACTGGGGAAAGGTAAAGAAAGACTGGTTTCAGAAAGCAGCAAGAGTATATACCATGATATAAGAATAACAAGCGCTGTAATGTGCATAATGGCGGGATGATAAATTGGAAATCCGTCCGAAAGCAGAAATTCAATGCTTGAAAAATGTAATGTATACGAAAGCGCGGGCTGAACTTAGCTCATGCACTGCACTTCCTTCATCTCTTTTGTGGAAATTTATTTAACGGATTCTCTATACGTAATCGCGGATTGTGTATAAAATAATAGTGAGTTTTACATTGTCTTTAATAAGAGAGCACATGCGACAACAAAAAAGCGCATTGGTTTTCTGACAGATTTCGAATCGCGAGCTTTCCTCGTCCCGACTTTAAATAAATGTATTTCGTCGAACTGTGGCACACTTGGTATTCTTACATCACGGTGGATGCTATCGTTCTTTGACGACATTTCGCGTCTGTCTCTCCGTCTATAAGACCGATAATACAGCCTACCTAGTTTACGGCAGTCCCCGACTGGAAGAAATCGTTACCGTCTGCGACCGGCGGTATGTAATATTCACGACGAAACTTCCACCGCGCGTTCGCGACTGTTAAGCCACCACGATATAGCGAATGATTTTCTACTAACCCACTTGATCAAGTCTATATATACAGACGTATTTCTCGTTTTCCGCGCGTTTAGCCCTTTTCCGTTGACCGAATTACAGAATCAAACAACTTGCAAAAACTCGTGCCGATTGTCTTCAATAAATGAGTTAATCGTCAATTAGTGTTCGGAGAACAGTGATGCAACTGCTACGTGATAATCAAGCGTGTTTAGATCTCTCTAGTGATATTATGTCAAGAGTTCATGAAAGAGATTTAAAAATAAAGCTTCACACTTTTGAAATTTAACTAGTTCTTTAGGTAAAATAATTATTCATTTTTAAAATGCAGTTCTACATCTCATTTTTTAAATGCAATTTAAAAAATAAGCTCTAAAATGTATTTATCTTTTAAATACTCTAATCAGACATTAAAGTTATTTAAAATTATAAAGCTACCGTTTTCATGTTAATTTAATATCACTGATCGAGAACTAATTAAATATACAGAGGCTCAAAGTTTGAGAACTTTTCGATTTCCATTACGGTGAGTGACAGAAGATGGTCCACGTTAAAACTACGGCGGTCGGTGACCGTACAAGGTTTGGCAGCCACTTGTTGAGTAATCTACTTAGTTCGATGGACGAGCAGCGCAGGAAGGGATCGGCAATGACGCGACGAAAAAGGAAAAGACGAAGAGAAGCTGGAGGAAAGTGTTACTCGACGCTCAAGCATCTCCATTCTGTTAACTTTTAGTTACTGGCATTTCTCGTGCACATTTATCGCATTGTTCCCAAAAGTCGTATTCGTCAGAAACATGTGTACAACGTTTCAAAACTAATTTTACTTTTATCAACTATCTTTGATTAATCCGCGATCGATTTTTCTTAAGGAAAATTCTTCTCTTTTCTTTTCTATCTTCATATTTTATAACATTAAATATTAATTATTTCATATTTATGTAATTAATTAATAAAAATATAAGTGATTAATATTATTATAGTATAAGTGATTGCTTTTTAAAGCAGATTTATATAAAATTAATTGAAGAATATATCAACTTTTTTATTTCAATTCTCTAAAAATATAATTCATAAAAAACCGGATTCTAAGTTGATTAAATAAAAGGATTATAAAGAAATACAATAACAAAGCTTTGGAATATTATGTATATAATATTATTGCAATGCAATATGAATGTAGCACGTCGATGGCAAATAAATCTAGACAAATTTTTAATGCAACCAGAATTGTGGCTCAAGTAAAATTTAGTGTTGCACAGTTTTTCGAGACAGTATCTTCCTAGAGAAGTACATCTCACTTGCAAAGCAACCTAGCTGTACGAGATACAAAAACACACTCACAGAAAAGAATATTCCTTAAGAATAACACTTTGCCTCTTAATGTGGCGTGTAAAATGTTCCACGCGAGCAGTTGTGTTGTGGAAGCCGCACTAACGACCGAGGATTAAAGTTGTCCTATTCCTTCCACTTTCTCTCGCGCTTCCGCGAACGCATTCCCAGGGGTCCGCATAAATTTCTGCTCCGTGGTTCATGAAAGCGCCCGAAAATATCAACCACCCACGCGGTCAGCCGCAAATTTGTGTAGAACCGCGTGACGGATACCGCACGCACGCTGAGCTTCGTGCCGGATTATGTAAACGCCGCACAGTAGGCATTCTTTCAGAAAAACTTGGCTAAGAGCGGAGTCGTAGTAAAATAGTAAGGAAAGTGTGATATAATACACTACCAAGTGCGATAAATTAATTTACGAGCTTGTGATGTATAACTGTAGGCTCTACGTATTACGTTTCAAAAATTCTGGACGTTCTCTGTTTTAATTTAGATTCTAATTACAAGTACCAAGTTTTTTAAAAAGCAAACGGTACCAAATTTAAAAAATTCTAGCAATTTAGATCTTACTGATTTAAATTCGCCTCGCGATATAAAAATTCTAAATTTTGAGCGACTTAGCAATCAGCAATTTAGAGAACTTTGACATACGTACTTAGAATTAAATATAGCTACAAAATTTTTTAACTCTAAATAATTAGACAACTCGATATTGTAACGTCAAATTTCAACGGTAAATACGAAACGCGAATATAAATCCGAAATTAAAATCCTAAGCGTCGCGTTGTTTTTCCCAATTTTCTCGCATTAGAGCCGCGTGTAAAGGGTCGCGCGTTCCCTAGCGAGAGCTCGCGAGTAGTTACAACCACGTGACAATGGTGTCACATATGCCCCATAACTGTTGTACAATGCGTGCGTGTGCACGTCGGGGGTATATAAGCGTGTCAGACTAGGTAATGGACGAGCATGGTGAGTCCATTAAGAAGTAACCGTTGTTCGTCTAACTGGTTCGATACGGCAAGCGGGGTGGTCTGTACGCTCGTATACGCGTGTATTCGTACACGCGTGCTCTCGTGCGTCTGTATCGCGCCTATAGCATCCTGACCTAGCCTACAGCGCATAACAGCGGCAGAATGAACAACACAATTCCGTTGAGAAGTATCTATCTACGCTTGTAATAAAAACGAGAAACATAGGAACAAAAAGCGACTTGTCTGTACACTTATCTTTTACCTCCTTTGATAACTCTTCTGAGCAACAATTCTTTAATTTACATCACGCGAGTCAAAAAATGTATATGATCAAAAATGCTTTCTTTCTTTTAATACGAAGAAAAAAGAAAATTATTTTTTATTAATTTTTACTCTATTCTGGCCGAAGAAAAATTCCAACAAAGTATTGATTTACGTAAAGTACGACGTACACTATAAAATTTATCATAATTGAATCATTTTCTGACACAAAAAAAACTGTTATTTTAAATTACTTACTATTTATTTCAGTTATTGTATATTTGTAATATATGTATATATGTAATAAAAAATATTTTATATAGAAATTGTTATCGCAATCAATGCATTAAGCTTGTTTCTTTAATAAATAGAATGTAAAGCGGAAAATATAAACATTCCCTCGTTCCTTAATGATAGCCTGCGTTATGGAAAGCAACACGATATGTATTACGGCGGTTAAAGGGTTAAAAAGACTTCCGCATTGTACGCTGCGCGCACCACTTTCGAAGCGATACCGGCAACTCGCCGCTAAACATTAATCGATTGTTATAAATCCCTGAATATATCGAGGACATAAGACGTTGCCGTTACATGTTTGCGGTTACGGAATGGTGCATTCACATGTTGAAATGTTAAACTGAATAAAACGATACCGTGCCAAGTAGGAGAGAACTTTCCTTCTCGCGATACTCTACAATTTCTTCACTTTCTATGCCTGTAACTTTCTTAAGTCTTTCAATTTTCTTTGCAATTTTTTCAAATGTATCTTAATTACACAGTATAAAAAAAGTATTAGAATAAAAATCGTTCTAGTACAAAAATAGTATTGAAATAAGAATCATTTTGATTTATTTCATTTTATTGTTATCGTCCTGCAGAGCTAAACTGTATATTGTATTACTATATTGAGTTCATACCATAAAGAAAAACTAATTAAATCGGTTTTTGTAGAGAAAAAATATAAATCGACTCTATTTTTATACGCGTCAGTAAAAAATATTTTTTTTCTTTGTAAAAATATTGCACTCTAAAATTAAAGATAGATAGCGGTCAAGAATTTTCAAACTGTATTTTTTGCTAATTTCCCCTCAGGTCAAAGATAAAAAAATTGTAAAAAACGTTTCTTACATATAAAAATTTTTGTTTTATTATTTACCTACTTTCGGAATAATTTCCAATTCAATTATATTCACAATGCAGAAGAATTTTACTATTAAATATAAAATTATGATATAACTGCATAAGAAGCATTTAAAAATTTTGCTGAAAATACTAAACATTACTGAAATTACAATACTAGTTTGATGTGTATTTAGCTCTATGACCTGCAGACGACTCATTTTCGAGATGCATCACGTTCTCTCCACGACATTTTCTGAGCGTCAAAGCATCTCTTCCCTTTCGACGATCATCTTTACCGCTGCAACGTAACCCAAGCCACTTCGTGTCAGCGACGAGTCAGCGTAAAAACCTATCACCTTACCCACCTATCTACATCTGAATGCTTCTTATCATGTCACAGAAAGCTATCGCAAATTCTATGAAAATAATTCAAGGTGAGTTCATGCGTCTTACCTTGAATAAAAATACTGAACATATCAAACGAAAAAAAAAGGTCGGATTATATATAGAATTTATATATAGAAATGAAATGCTTGAAAAATTTCAACAAGACGAAATCTGACAAAATATGATCAAGAATTTTGTAGCAAAAATCGAGATAAATCTGTCGCATTTGTCAATCTCTTTGGTTCAATAATCAGAATTATTTGTTTTATATGTCAAAAGTTATAGAATTATTAAAAATCAAACTAGAGTTTCTTGATAATTTATAAATTTTTATAAAATAATACGCCAGCTTCACACACATAAGATTATCCACCATTAAAATAAGTAATTATTTTAAGAGAAGTAAAACATTTTTAATTTGTTATTTAAAAAATCTAACACAAATAGAAATCATCGTTAAGAAATTATAAATAATAAATTTCTTTGTGTGGAAATGTGACTTTCTTGAGAAGACGAATAGAACTATGTATATCTCATATGCAATTTTAAAGAAAAACTTATTTATTCAATACGTCCGTTTTATACGTCTCAAAGTGATCATCGAAAGTGAACGCGCAAATTCGCCTTTACTTCTCTCGCATGAGTCGCCCGCAGAAATTTTTCACTTCGCGTAAAAGGCATAGACGTAAAAGGCGATGTAAAAGTTGGCAGCAAACGCCGACGCGCTGGTTACGAGGAAGGCCGACGCGTCGTCAACACCGATTCTAATTTAGATAGTCACGGTTAACCACGTGCTGACAATGGCTCGTTTCGGATGATCTCGATAAGCTTGCGCGCACCGTGTCGCTCCCATTGCGGAAGAGGCCCTCGGCCTGAATATTTTTCGCGATCAATGTGCATGTCGGGCAAATTTCGCGAACTTCCGCCATCTTTGTCACGAATTTACTCACATTTTTTCTCGCTTTTTTCGCAAAAAAACATTGCCGATTTAAAATACATTCAGAGAATTTCTTCACAAATTTACAAAAAAAGTATGTGTGTTTAATATATTAAATCTTTACTTTATCGATAAAAAATTCGTTTTAAAATATCAAATTAATTGTTATATCTCGTTTCACTTCGTTATAATACACATGTTTTGGCGTGTTACTTTATATACAATATTTATAGGACACACACACGCATTAGCATACTTATGTAAAATAAAAATACGACATCTATATGATAAATAGGCAATAAAATCACTTGTCTCTTTTAGTAAGTATCTGTTTGATATAAACGAGAACATGATAAACGTTACATTTGAATGAGCATGTTAGATACAAGATATTCGATTTCACTCGTAACTCGATTTCGCTCCGGCCATCGCGAGTAAAACCAACCCGCAGTATACAATTTTGACGCATGACAGCCATGCATAGTAATTAATATCAGCTTGAAGAGAACTGATTAAGGTTAGCGATACAATACACGGAATAATGAATGGTCGGGTAGTTAATCGCCAGCTGATTAGAGTGCACAACCGCTTCTAATCTACATGGACAAGCATTCATGTCAGCGAACCGAATCATTACATAATGCGAACAAACCAATTTACATAACGTATATATAATGATTGCATCGATATATGTTGATTATAACTATAATTGCGCGTATCAAATATCTTAATACGAAGATTGATGCATATTCAACGATGTCGCAACCAAAAGCATTATGCAAGTAACGCGCTAATCGATTTAGAATTCCAAGACTCGAAAAATTTCAACA